ATAATTGACACATAATAATTATACAGATTTATAGGATATAATGTGATGTTTCAATGCATATTTACCTAGTATAATGACAAATTGGAATAATTACCATATCCATCAATTCAAATGTTATCATTTTTTTGTGGTGACAACATTCAAAATCTTCTCTTCTAGCTATCTTGAAATATACAATACATTGTTATTTGCTGTGGTCATCCTATTGTGTAATAGAACACCAAAACTTATTCTTACTAACTGTAATTTTATACCCATAGTCAAAATAATTTTGAAAAAAATCAAAGTTGAAATCCCACATTTTCTAATATCAAGATTTATTTCAATGCATTAAACAATGACAATTGGTATTGATGAAAGATTGAACTATAAATAAGTAGTAATAGATAAATCTAGGGTTCACCAACACAGGTTGCCCACCTTTTCAGGAAGGACACAAATATTAAAGTCAGGGTTGATTCTGACACAAAGAACACAAACACTTGCAAAAACAATGACACGTGTTTATTGGAAAAGTATAATTTCCCCCAGCTATAGAGTATTTTTGCTTATGGACCATACAAAACCAGATAATAGGAGAAATAGTAATGTACATTTTAAACATAATCAGAATCAAATCTTCTATCTTCAAATAACATAATGGGAGCATTCAGATCTTCTCAAAAATCAACAGTTTTTTAAAGTAAATGCAGGTGATCATATCCAACCCTTAAATGAATGTTGAGATGATAAAATGAGACCTCCTTTAAAGGAAAGTATCAATGTAAAATATTATTTCAGAGACAAGTAATGGTCAAGCAGCAAGAGCAATACCATCTTCTGTAACTAGTAGCCACAGTGAGAACCATATCCACAGTCATATCTGGAACCACACTCACAGCCCTAGCCATGGCCATATAAATATAGCTCCCATGGGAGCTCCCACAGTAGCTGCAACGTACGGTGCCAAAGGTGAGGTTTCAGTTGAGGTGTAAAAGAATTTTTCTTTTCTTTTTTTGTTTTTTGTTTTTGAGTTGGAGTCTCACTCTGTCGCCCAGGTTGGAGTGTAGTGGCACTCTCACTGCCACCCCAGCGTTGACCAACTGGGCTCCAGCGATTCTTCCGCCTCAGCCTTCCAAGTAGCCAGAGCTACAGGCCTGCACTACCACGCCAGGCTGATTTTTGATTTATTGTAGAGACGAGGTCTTGCCAAGTTGCCTGGGCTGGTCTCGAACCTGCAGGCTCAGGCAATCCACTTGCGTCAGCCTCCCAAAGTGCTGGAATAGCAGGCTGAGCCACCGAACCCAGCCAGATTTTTCTAAAGTTGGAATATTACCTACTACCCTGAAACACTCACATCCTGATAGAAAGAGCCAGCATATACCATCAATTTTGTGATTCATGCAAAAAATATTTCATACCTACTGTGTGTAAATCACTCCACTCAGTTGTTAATGGGAGGACCTGGTCTTTTCATAGCAATAGCATCTGCCTTAAATAAACACATTATTATAGGTTCTCCAGTTTTATTAGGAAAACTTGTTTGGCTTTTGTCACCCAAGAATTGTCTTGAGCCAATTAAAATCTCTGAGATACGTTTCTATCCATTTGCCAGTCATCTGAACACATGAATCCAAAGATATATTTTATATACCAATAGTCTGTGGAAAATAGAATGGTTTATGTTTGAAAATGCAGCTATTAAAATGAGCTTAACTAATTACTTTGACTAACTTGCTAGTTACTAATTACTTTGTAGGTGATTTTATTGGAACCCAATGCTGCCCTATACAGAAACTCCTCAATATTTCATATTATAGATTCCTAAGAATTCAAATATCCATGAATATAATATTCTAGGAATACATACTCCTAGAGTCCTTCCTTAATAATTTTTGTATCTTCTAGGTTCTCATTTAGTTCAAATCAGAACAACAAAAGAATATCCTTTACAGTGATAGCTATTGGGTGTCTTATAAATTACAAATTCCTTCATATGTTCTTGTCTACTTGATCTCAATGAAAATGTGAAAGAGGCAAGTAACATAATATAGAACTTGAGGTACAAAAAAGGTTAGGAAACTTACTAAAGTCATACAGCTAATAGATTACCAATCTCAAATATCCATGATTCTTTGTTATGCTACGTAAAATCTCCCTTTCTGATCATTGGATGCTTGGACACTTGCAGCAACAGGGATCTTATTGCTTGTATGGTGACCCATTTCACTGTGTAATAACTTTGTTATAAGCTTTGCATGCTTTGAGGTCTTTTATTATTCCCAATGTCACTAGGGGTCCTAGGTGAAATTTATTTAAGAGTTTTGTTCCAAGCCGGGCTCGGTGGCTCAGCCTGTAATCTTGCACCTTTGGGAGGCTGAGGTGAGTGGACTACCTGAGCCCACGGGTTCAAGACCCACCTGGGCAACTTGGCGAGACCTCATCTCTACAATAAATCAAAAATCAGCCAGGCGTGGTAGCGCATGCCTGCAGTTCCAGCTACTTGGAAGGCTGAGGAGGAAGGATCGCCGGAGCCCAGCAGGTCGAGGCTGCGGTGACCAGGAGCGGTCACTGCACTCCAGTCTGGGCGACAGAGTGAGACTCCAACTCAAACAAACAAACAAAAAAAGAGTTTTGTTCCAAATCATTCCCATCAAGTGCGGCTGATAGTGCTTCTCACTATTTCATTTCAATTCAGACTGGCTTCCTAATCTCTGGTGATGTGCAGATATGTTATTCTGGTTATCCAAGACAACTATACATTCTACTAGGTGATTTAGACAGCAGAAACGGAAATCTATGTAATAACTTTCTATTACTGCATACAAATGCTTACAAAAATAGAAGCTTAAAACAATACCCACTATAATCTTAGTCTTCACAAATCAGAAATCTAAGCATAGCCTAGCTGCCATCTCTGCTCAGGGTCTCACAATATAGCAATCAAGGTGTTGACCAGCACATCTGCAAAATCTCTTTGTCATATAACTTAACTAGAGTTGCTGGATTTAGTAAATGTGCTCCAAATATTGCATGAAACATACTTATACTAAAAAGTTATCAATGTTTTTATCTGAAATTCAAAGGTATTCATCTTGTGTTTTATCCACTAAACCCAAATGCAATCACAGAAGTGATATCCCATCATCTTTGCCAAGGCTAGAAACAAATTACAGGTCCTCCCCATACTCAAGGAGAGGGGATCACACAAGAGTGTAGGTTATTAGTGGCCACCTTAGAATTCTGCCTACTCACATCTGTGATTTTTTTTTCCCAACTAGTGATTCCATATCCTCCAGGAGAGATGATGTAATAAGTAATAACGTATAGTAATAAGGTTCCAATATATAAACAATTTTTAAAATTTGTATAAATGTACTTGTTAGTACACATGCTGTTTTGTTACATGGCTCTATTTCCAATTGGTGAAGTCTGGACTTTTATTGTATCCATCACTCAAATAATGTACATTGTACCCATTAAGTATTTCCTCTTTCTCCCATCTAGAAAAATATTTCTTTTCTTTCACGATTGACTGGTTCTTATTTGTCTTTCACATTCCAGCTAGAAATTTGTCGCTTTTTCAGAAAGATTCCTGACCCTTCTCTCTACTTATTCTTCTTAGTCCCGGTCCTTCTGATTTCTTCTTCTGTACTTCCCAAACACTCCTGTGTCAAACTATAGCAATACTCTTATCTTTGTAGTCTGTAGTCTTTTATGCCTTTCCCACACTTTTAGAAAGCAGGGGTGACATATTTTAGTTCTCTGTTCATAACACATAATGAAGTGTGTTTTATTAGAAGCTCAATAAATATTTGATAAATGACACTGCCCATTTATCTAATTCATAAGTGCTTCTGTCTTCAAGAATGACAATCTATCCATTCATCCACTTTTGCCCTTCCTCTCCTCAAGACTGCAATTTCTTTCAAGTTTCCAGGGCAACAAGACAGTGTCACATACTAAAAAGAACTCTTGTGTGGAAGAATTTATGTGTCATTATTATAAATTCACATCAACCTACAAAGTCATAAGGAAAATCTGAAATTCTAGTCTTACTAATTTCACAACACCAGTGTTTAAGATATACAACTGTAATATACCACTCTAAATTCCTTCACAATTCTAAGTGCTAAGAAATAATATACACTTTTTAGATATTGTCTTCTCTGGGTTTTTCTCCCTTCTCCTTCACTGTTGATGTCTAAGATCTTACAGATTCTACCTTCACCAGTTTCCTCTTGCTTATCTGTTCTTTTTCATTATCTAATCCAACAAACAAATGCAGGCCCATTTAACCAGTCTGTAAGTCATTTGTATACCTAGCTTTTTAGCCTTCTGTCTCTCCCTTTCCAACTCATTTTTGCACCATTAGCATTTTCTCAAAGCAGACTCTTCTGTGGCATTCAGGGTGTGTGAGTGTACATTTATTGGAGAGTGCATTCTTGCTGATTAAAATGGAAACAAAGAAAGGAATAGACCCAGAGTCATGATACAGATGCTTATGGACAATAAATTAAAAACACAAGACTCAGCCAATAAGGAGGCATTTTTTCAGGGATGATGTTCAAGATATGTCACATCCACTATGTCATAGGAACTGACCAATCAGAATGGAAGCCACAATTGGAATGAGTAGCTTAGTATTAGCCATCCTAATCTTTGATCATAGAAATGTAAGACAAAAATAAAGGTCAATAGCATATCTGGGAAAAAAGTAAGAAAACTTGTTTGAGTCAATGAAACATGTTTATTTGGAAACACTCCTAATACAGAAACAAAGAATAAGAAGGTAATGGCTATACACTTGGACTATGGCCAAAATTACATCTTCTGTCTTCCAGAAATATTATGGAGTAACTCTGGTCCCCACAATAGCAAGCAGGATTTTAAAAGACAATCATTTTCTGCAGGCTCTGACTTCTCTCTATTCAGTGGAATCTGATAGGATTGTAAAACACCGAAACAGAAATGGCCTTGTAATGGTCATTTTAGAAGAAAAGGTGCACTGCAGTTATGTTCTAGCAGCAAGAATAACATTTTCTATAGCAAAATGGCCGGTAGCCACAGCAGCTAGAGCCGTAGCCAGAGCCATATCCACAGCCAGAGCCAGAGCCATATCCACAACCATAGCCAGAGCCGTATCCGCAGCCGTAGCCAGAGCCATATCCACAGCCATAGCCAGAGCCATATCCACAGCCATAGCCAGAGCCGTATCCGCAGCCATAGCCTGAACCGTATCCGCAGCCATAGCCAGAGCCGTATCCGCAGCCATAGCCAGAGCCGTATCCACAGCCATAGCCAGAGCCGTATCCACAGCTACCACATGAGTTTCTGTAGTAGTTGCAACACATAGTGTCTGGAGATGGGTGTTCAATCGTTCAGTAGAGAAGCAGGTGAAGGATTCTGAAGTCTGAATGTCATCTCCTGCCCTGAGACCTTTATATACTACCAGAAATGGGCGGAGCACATAACACAGACTCCATGGCCTCATTACCACAGTAATTTTCATTTTTAAAAAGCTTCTCATTCTAAGGACAAGCTTTTCAGGTAATTATGTCAGGAATTTGTCCCTAGTCAGTCATGAGAATTCTAAAAAAACAGCTGTAACTTACACATTGAACACATATGTCTTGTGACAGGTAATTAAATCTAATTTAGATTTTTACTCCAGGAACCATTAACTCTCCTGTACTTCCAGGTACAAGTAAGTGGGCACTGAGATGTTCCAGCATATTTTACCTCAGTATCAACAGGAAACCCCCCGGCTAGAAGTGAGAGGCAAGCTACAAATGTATAAGATGAGGCATTCTCAGGTTATAACTGAAAGAAAGTGGGTGGAGCCCCTGCAGAATGGCCCCCTGAAGTGGTAACTGGAGCAACAGTTGAGGCAAAGAAAACAGGGGTCTGATGCAATCTGGCAAAATAAAAGCAACCAGGACTTTGTTCAATGCAATTTAATACACTCGCAGATTTCTTGAAACTTTTCAGCGTAGTACTTTCTTTGAGACATCTTGCCCACTTAACATCTCCAAATTTTTACCTGCCAAAATCGTACTGATCCTTTAAAACACAGCTTCAGCTCTATCTCCTACAAGAAACATTCTGTACATTCACAAACTACACTGGACACCAATCCTCTGTCCTAATTTTATGGTGGTCCTGAACATGTTATATTACCATACTCCATTTTAGTCATCTGATTCTCTCAGACAGATGTGAGTTACTTATGATCAATAACTTTGTCTTTATTTTTTGTGAATCTAACAAAATGGACACTCACTAACTGTTGAATGAGAACCTGTAGAATTTCTTCCACATGTAAAATTTGTGGAATTTCAGCTACCCCCTCGGGTCCCCTCCCACTATGGGAGCTTCTCTCAAAAAAAAACAAATTGTGGAATTTTAAAAAATCATTGGTAAATATAATTTGTAAATTTTATTTTAATTTTAATTTGGAGGTTGTTATATAGAAAAATAATAACAATAATTATATTTTCCTTATTTATTCACACTCACATCGATTACTTCACTTAATTTTTACAAAATGAAGTATGAAGTTTTTTCTTATTTTCTAGTTTTACTAAGGCATAATTAACAAAATTGTATAAGTTTGAGGTATATGTTGCAATGATTTGGTATACATATATAGTGAAATGATTACCACAGACATATCTATCACCTCACTTAATGTTTCGTTTGTTTTTTGTTTTGTGATGAAAACAATTAAGATCTCTTTCAGAAAATTTCAATTATACAATACAATATTGTTAACTACAGTTACCAAGCTGCACATTAGCTCTCCAGACACAGCAATTTTAAAACTGAAGTTTGTACCATTTGACCAACATTCCCCTTCCTCCCACCTCCTGGAAGCCACCAGTCTATTCTCTGTTTCTGTAAGTTTGACTTTTTTAGATTCCATATATAAGCAACATTATGCAGTATCTGATATTTCACTTCACATATTGCCCTCCAGGTTTATTCATGCTGTTGTGGCAAGTGGCCAGGTTTCCTTCATTTCTATGGCTGAATAATATTCCATCATGTGTGTGTGTTACAGATTTTTGTCCATTCATCCATTAATGAGCAATGTTGTTTCCAAGTCCTGGCCATTGTGAATAGTGCAGCAATGAACATGGCAGGGCAGATATTTCTTGGAGCTACTAATTATTTTTTCCCTTTGAACATAAACCCCATCAGATTGCTGAATCACGTGATACTTCTAACTTTAATTTTAGGAACCTCCACATATGAATTCAGATTCCCACCAGCAGTGCACAAGTGTTTCCTCTGCACCACATTCTTCCCAGTACTTGTTATCTCTCTCTTTTTTTAATAATAACCACCAGAAGCCAGGCTCGGTGGCTCAGCCTGTAATCCCGCGCCTTTGGGAGGCTGAGGTGAGTGGATTGCCTGAGCCCGCGGGTTCGAGACCCGCCTGGGCAGCGAGACTTCATCTCTACAATAAATCAAAAAATCAGCGGGGCGTGGTAGCGCGCACCTGTAATTCCGGCTACTCGGAAGGCTGAGGCGGAAGGATCGCTGGAGCCCAGCAGGTCGAGGCTGCGGTGGCTGGGAGCGGCCACTGCACTCCAGTCTGAGCAACAGAGTGAGACTCTAACTCAAAAAAATAATAATAATAACCATCAGAACAGATGCGAGGTGATATCTCATTGTGATTCGCATTTGCATTTTCCTGATAATTAGTGATTTGAGTGCCTTTTCATGTACCTGTGGCTTTTATCTTTATACACAGGTCATACATGAGAAAACAGAGGCCAAGGGTTGTTCAGTCACTTGTCCAAGTACTCTCATCTGTTTAGTATTAGAATCAAATTGACTTAACTCCTACTAGAACATTAGAGCAAAGGAAAGAACCCTAAATTATTTTTTTCTTCAGTGTTTCAAATGTAAAATATTTACTTTATTTGACTGAAATTGTCAACATTTTGCAACTTTTGTCTTACACTTCCGTCATCTGGGTTTTTCTTTTCTTTTTTTTCTTTTTTTTCTTTTTTTTTTTTTTTTGAGTTGGAGTCTCACTCTGTCGCCCAGACTGAAGTGCAGTGGCCACTCCCAGCCACCGCAGCCTCGACCTGCTGGGCTCCGGTGATCCTTCCCCCTCAGCCTTCCGAGTAGCCGGAATTACAGGCATGCGCTACCACGCCCGGCTGATTTTTTGATTTATGGTAGAGATGAGGTCTCGCTGCCCAGGAGGGTCTCGAACCCGCAGGCTCCCCGCTTAACTCTTATGTCCCACAAGTGATATTATAGCCATTCTTCTCATGGCACAGTGTTCTCTACTGAGAGTATAACCTTCTTAACACTCTGCAAGTGAATGTTAGAAACTGGAACACCAGTAAAAATGACAACTTTTCTAAACATCTCAAATTTTGTCAATATAAGAACAAAAACAACATAGATCAGCAACTTCCATGTCAAAAATAAAATATTGGATTCTAGGTTTACATTTTAATTATGATTGTCCCAATATTATAATTATTTCCACTAAAATTCAATACTTAATATTGGGTTCATTTCTCCAATCTCCATGACCCTTTCCACATTAACATCTCACCTGCTTTCTTCCCAAAGTAGTTTTATCATGACAATATTTATTTGCATTCTTCCATTGATTGTTTTTCTAGACAGTGACTAGACAGTATAATTTATCTTGCAAGAATTTTTGAACACATATGTCACTCAAGCACTATTCTAGAACATAGAATGTTAAATTTTAAAATATATGTTTAGAAATTATTCAGGAACTGTAAATCACCATTTCCTTTGGGACAGTTTTTGTCTTTTTACCAGTTGTTACATGAAACATTTCTGAACATAGAGCAATCGATATTGATACAATTATCTCCAAGGATTTCTATGGATATTTCTTATTTTTCAGCCTCATAACTAATATATACCTATTATAAAATTTTTGAAAAAATACATTTCTTCTCAATGGCTGGAGGAATATGAGCAATGGTGTGCTATTAATTGTTTAATGATTTTTGTTGGGTTTTGGGATGGTGGTGTCCAATTTGTCAATTGCCATAGTACAAGCATTCCTAGCATGATTGCTTTCAAATTACCAATGGCTTAACAGCTGGCTTGCAAAATTCCTCAAAATCTATATCATCTTCTAGTTCTTTAATAATTTAACTTTCTTGCTTAGAACTTTAATCAATATGGAATTTTGTATGCATTTTTCATAAGTTAGGTATCCTTCTCTGTGTCTAAACAAATGAAACATTGATTAATCTTATTGTTATGGGTTAAATGTTTGCCCCCAACAACGCTCATGTTGAAACTTAATTGCTGTTGTCAAGGTATTGGGACCTTTAAAACATGTTTAGGTCATGAGGGTTCCTCCCTCATAAATGGACTAATTCCATTATCACGAAAGTGGATTTATTACTGCAGGTATGAGCTTGCCACCTCTTGATCGCTCTCTCTTGTCCTCTCTTTGACCTTCCACCATGTTCTGATACATCCAGAAGGCCCTCACCACCTTGATATTGGCCTTCCCAGCCTCCAGAACAGAGAGCTAAGAAATTTCTATTCACTATAAATGTCTCAGTCTCAGGTAGTCTGTTACTGTACCAGGAAATAAAATAGGACATCCATTTACTAAATAAATTATCCCAGATGGAAACTTGGTCTTTACTAGGCACCCCATGGAAGTCTGCAGCACTGGCAATTGTGGTCTCCGTGACTCAGATTTATATCTAGACAACATGGTTAGAGTCCCTGATTTTTGCTGGTGAGCCAACATGGCTTTTCCTACTATCTAGTGTCTTCTCCTGGTCAATTTGTTGTGATTGACCCTCTAGAATAACACTGTACAGTAGAAATATATTATGAAACACATGGAAAAAATTAAATTTTTCAATGACCATTTTAAAAAGATTATTTAAATGTGAATTGATTTTGTACCATGTTTTATTTAATCTAATATTCCCAAATATTATCATTTGGTATATGATTAATATTTTTTGATTATTTGATAGTTTTCTTTTTTTATATTTGATATTTACTGTATATTTTACATTGACTACATGTTCCATCTTGGACTAGTCATATTTCAAGTGCTGAATGTCCACATCTGGCTAGTGGCTACCATATTGGACAATTGGACAGTGCAGCTCATTCAAGAAACCTGAGAATTCCTCTATGGGTGTGGCTACTGTTTAAAAATTTGTCAATTGTGCTACTACTGTAGCAATAAACTGCCAGCTTATTTGTATTTTTCCCTAAATTCTTAAATTCTATTTACACTTTTATGTAACTGACCAATTCTACTCCATTTTTTATGGCTCTGTTCATACATAATTTTTCTTTGGAAGCAATTTCTGACCTTTATCTAACCTTCTCGTTCCCTGACTGACTTAGTTTTTCCCCCTGAGTTCTTCTTGGTAACCCCATCATACCTGCAAGCATACTGTTATAATGTGAATGTACAATTTACTAATTTGCATCCAAGTGAAGATTTTCAATTCTTAGAAGAAAAGACTATGCGTTTTATCTTAATCCCCACACTAATCATACCATATACCCAGAACATGAATCTTAAGGTTTGTTAAGTGACTGAAAGAACAAACAACTGATTGTACAAATTTGGACCTCTGCAATGTGTATGATTGTACAAATTTGGACCTCTGCAATGTGTATGCAATAATTCATCAAAGAAAAGAACTTTGTGTTATAAAGGAATTTGAAGCTTAAATCATTTCATGACTACAGAAAGTACTCCCTAATAAAAATGCTCTTCCCTCTCCTCCATAACATGACTATATATGTAAAGCCACAATTCATTTTTCCCAGACTCTACCAGACTCACACTACCCACACATGCACACACACACACACATAGACAAATACAGAGACATTCCCTAATTTTTTCATCCCTATCTCTGTTAACATTATTACTATTTTCTTATTTCACACAAGCTGAATGTCTCAAAATGTTCTTCAATTAGAGTCACAACAGTTCAGATTTTGAAGCTATGTTAAGTATTAGTTTGCCAAGAACTCTTCCTGATATATAAATTAATTTATAAATGCCTAATAATTGATATCTTCCCTTATTATTGAATGCTTTCAATAACAAAGAACTTAATAAAACAATAAATTATATTTTTTAAGAGCTTTAATTATTAGAATTCCCTTCCATTGCTTGTAATACTAACTTCAGGGTTTTAAAAAGTATTGTCAGTCCTCAGATCACAAATATCCCAGATGCAAAAACCATCCTGCTTGTGAAAGAAACTCCAATTCTCTATCAGTTGGACAGAATCTGCCTTGAACATAACTTCTCTCCAGGGCTGACTTTTTATCTTCCTTGGAGTCAATCACTTGTAGTGTCTTCTAACTCCAGGGAGCTCAGAGAGTTGAACTTGGTTCAGAAAACCCTGCTATGGGGATAAGGTAATGACACATTTGTTATTGTTAGTTGAAATATGATTGCTGCTGAACCTAAAAGGCTTTTTTCTATTGTAGGATTCACATGATTGAGTTCTGGATGGTCAGCTGAGGAAAGGACACTAAAATCAAAACCCGAAAAGTAGTAAATGCTCCACTTTAGAAAGTCAGCCAGGCAACTAGACAAAGTTATTTAATTCCATTTTTATTTCTACCCTAATCTCAAGAGAACCCCACTGAAATACTGGAGATTTCTTTGTTCCAATTGAAAAATGTGACACCACCTAATTTCACCCAACACGTAAAGAACTTCTCTTCCCTGTTTGCGCTTGTTACTCTCCTTTCTAGTCTTTGTTACTGGCAATTTTTAGTTACCAGCTCAAATGTCACAATTTCAAAATACCTCCCCAAGCAGTCTCTTTAACATTTCAAGCTTTACTCTTTTTCTCATTAAGCTATTTTATTCCTTCTGTAGCAATTGTTTCTATGAATTTATTATAAGTAATTTTATTGTTCTTTGCCTATTAAAATGTAAACACTCCAAAAGCATGAAACTTGACTATAATTTTTTCTACTTTACCTTCAGTGTCTAGGACAGGATCTATTCAATAATATTCAAAATATTTGTTAAGTGGCTTAAATCACTTTCCTCTCCTCTCAACCTCCATGTATGCAAACTATTATACTTGCACTTCCATTAAATACAGATAATGTGATAGGATATTTTTCCTTCTAATTTACTTTTACCTTAGGCTTTTATTCTTCATGCCCAACACCTGAGTCTGACTGTAATTTTTCAATAAGTCTAGAAATAATTTCTTCTATTCCATGAATTCTTAAGCATTTAGACTTTGTCTTCTCTCCCTGGGACTCTTGTAACCTCGTAAATAAATGTCACTCCTTCCTTTTCTTTTCCAACTCCATTATGGATACTCAATGCCATTTCTAAAGCACAGTTCTGCAATACGCTGTGATTTGTGCTTGGGTATGTGAATGGTTGCGCATGTGACATATGAGAAGTAGGTAGAGAAGACGTTATTTGTGATACATATATAAGAAGAAACATTTGTATAATGTCAATGAAGTAACTAAGGTTCAGCCAACATATTTTTAGCCCAATTTTCAAAACAGGCCAAGACACTTCAAGAAAGAAGTAATTCACAAGCAAATACACAAAGACTTGTTAGAAATAAAGAGCCATTTTTATTTAAGCAATTTTTCCAACTGTAGATGTTGTGGTTATCAATACAGTCATATAGAGAATTAGAAATTAAGAGATTAAAAGCTAACATTTGGAAAATAGTGAGATGACACCATGGATCTTAGGGTCACAGATATTCCATTCTAAGAAATATGAGCCTGGAGGTCCAAGACTGTCAGAAGCATATAATGTCTTGAATATAGAAATCTCGGGGTCTGGATCCTTTAATCAGCGTCATCTGCAACATGTCATTTCAGGAGCAAATGGTCCCAATAGTGATGCTTTAGCAGCAAGAATAACACCTTCTAAAGCAAAATGGTCTGCAGCCACAGGAGCCAGAACCATATCCACAGCCATAACGGGAGCCAAATCCACAGCCGTAGCCAGAGCCATATCCACAGCCATAACGGGAGCCAAATCCACAGCCGTAGCCAGAGCCATAGCCAGAGCCGTATCCACAGCCATAGCCAGAGCCGTATCCACAGCCATAGCCAGAGCCGTATCCACAGCCATAGCCAGAGCCGTATCCACAGCCATAGCCAGAGCCATATCCACAGCCATAGCCAGAGCCAAATCCACAGCCATAGCTAGAGCCATAACCACAGCCGGAGCCACAGGAGTTGCCGTAGTAGTTGCAACACATGTTGTCAAGAGGAGACAATTCAGGTGGGTAGTTGAGAGGGTTTCTGAAGTGTGAATGTCTTCTTCTTCCCCAGGACCTTTATATACGTACTGCCAGTAATTGCCAGTGCATACCATTCATTCCCTAACTTAGTCAACAAACATTAAAACAGCTATTATGTGCCAGTCACTGTTGACAATCAATAATGGTTTCATTAAAATGAACCAATTATTTTGGAGACTCTGGTTTATTTAAAGAACATCATTTAATCTGCTCTGCCAAAGAACTGCCTCAGTGAAATCATGCGCCCAAAAGCAAAACTGATATCAAATTTCAAAACCTTCTATCACTAAATATATTTCTTATGTAACAAAATTTTGTCGGAATGTAATAAAATTTTGCCCTTCTCTCTCTGTGTCTCTCTCTCTCTCTCTCTCCCTCTCTCTCTCTCTCTCTCTCTCTCTCTCTCTCTCTCTCTCTCTCTCTTCTTTCCCAATATGTCCATCTCTGCCCATAGGGAAGGAGATACTCTTATGTCCTTCCTTGAGTCATTGCTCCTTCTCGCCAGATTTCTCCCTCCTACCCAGTCTACACTTCCTCATCTCCCCTTTGTCCATCCTCCCTCAAATCTCAAGAAACATAGCCAAATGTCATCATTCAAAGCTACGTGGTATGCCATCTGTAAGTGCTTCCACTCCCCTCTCCTCCTTCCTTTCATATACCGAAGTACCAGTCCTCCTTTTCTCTCTCATTTTTTAGAGCTGTGTAAGTAATTGCCGTTGAGGAGCCTTTTAAAACCTAACCAGCTTTATTTGGATGAAGAAACAAAAAACTTCTTTAGACCAAAATTAGCTTTTCTCCAATGCAGATTTTCTCAGAATTTTGCATATAAAATATGGATGCATTCCTATAATTTATTTATTTACTTATTTTTTTGAAGTGGAGTCTTGCTGTCTTCCCAGGGCTGGAGTGCCATGGCCTAAGCATAGCTCATTGCAGCTTTGAACTCCTGGGCTCAAGTCATTTTCATGCTTTGGCCTCCATTAGTAGCTGGGACCACAAATCTGGGACTACAAGCATGTACCACCATACCCAGCTATCTTCTTTTTTTTTTTAATTTTTTTTGTGGAGATAGAGTCTTGCTATGTTGCCCAAGCTGGCCTTGAACTCCTGGCTTCAAGTGATCCTTCTACCTTGGCTTCCCTGAGTGCTGGGATTGGAGGCATGAGCCATCATGCCCAGCTGCATTCCTAGAATTTAATAAATCATTTCTCCTTCTTTCCCTACTGTTTCTTGCACATTTATTTCAGAAGGTAAAGGAGAGTGGACAATTTTAGGATGCTGACAGCAAAAGCCCATCTTCAACTCCTCATTTTGTGATATAAAGTAGCACAAAAAATGAATTTTATGTCTTTTGTTTATATGTGTGTTGCGTATGATATATATAATTTTTGTTCTGCTCATTCAAGTTTCTTGAAATTACCTATTTATTACGAGTTCTCAATTTTCTACAAAAATGTTCATTGAGATTTTGAAATACAATGTGCTCTCTTTCTTCCTAATAATTCTGTCTATTACACTTACCTTTTCAACATATAAAAGAAGAAAATGAGTATCATTTCTTCTGCCATTAATTTTTTTCTTGTCATCCTCAATTGTCAACTAAAAAAACTCCTATCTATATAACAAAACTCAGGTCTGGAGTTACTTCCTGCAGGACGACTTTCCTCGCTGCTACTTTCTAACTGGACTAGATGATCCTCCTCTTCGTTCCTATATGCAGACAAAAAGTCAAGTTTTGTTGAAATTTTATCTTATTTGTTAATTAAAGTATGATATTCTTAAGGAAAGAGATTCTATATTCCACATTAAAAATTCCAGGCAAAGTTGATGTTTGGTCTACATTTTACATAAAAGAAAGTTATGTGTCAATGGTGGTAAAATAATAGACTCAAATTTAAGCCACTACTAAAAGACATAACTGTAGCAAGTTATATTGATGCCACATGGAAGATTCTACTGGAGCATAAAACAAGGTCAGGATTCAGGAAATAATGGGTTTTTTTAACCTTAAAATTTCAATAAATGTCTAATGTGCATGGCTTCTTTATTGCCTCTTTAAAAAAAAAATTACCTTTAAAGTTCCAGGAGGACCATGGTCATTCTGCAAGAATATACCTATAATTAGTACTTAAACTTGTCATAACACACACACACACACACACACACACACACACACACACACACACACACACACACTCCTACTCTAGGGTTCATCTTCTTTCCAAACTACAAGTCAAATAGCAGCAATGAAGCTATTGTCACATCCACATCAGTGGTGCTCAAGGATGGGTGTTTTTGCTCTCTTGGAGACACCTGGTAATCTCTGGAAACATTTTCAATTGTTACAACTTGGGGAAAGGAGAACTGTTACTGGCATCTAATGGTAGAAACCAGAAATGCAGCTACAAGCCACAGGATAGCCCCCAACAACAAGGAACATCTGGTCCAAAATGCCAATAGTGCTGAGGTCTGGAAACCGTGGTTTATAGCTATGCATCTATAAATAGGTTTCTACATCTACAGGTGTGTAATCCAAACTAAGTCCTTCTTCTCAATTTATATCCAATACCCTAGCTTTCTATCACCTAACATGAAGTCAAAAAAGTGGGATTTCTTTAAAATTTCTTGTTTGTTTGCTTTTGCTTATGTTACTTTTCTAGGTTTTATTTAAACCACCATCTTCAGAATCAAACAGACTCCAAAGTTTTAAATTGTTTTTTACTTAAGCAGTCATGAAATCCAAGTTGGAAGAGAATATAATCTCAGAAAGATAATTTCTTCTATTGGATACTTGAATTTTGACAACAAAGGAATGAGTGGTGATCTGGTACTTTACTAAATGCCTTCAGGAGGGATTTTCACAAAGCTGCCAATTTCATTTTCTGATAATCTATCATGAGACATTTTTTCCTTCAGTTGAGAAGTCTTCCTACCTATTTTTTTCTAATATCAGTCACTGGTTATATCTGATCACTCTGCTGTTTCATCCCTAAAAATAAGCATAAAGAAAATAAATCCCTATTCCAATTTTTATTTTCCTTCAGGTTCTTTTCTTTTCTATCTTCCTTAAAATTCAAAACTATAAATTCTGCTTTACAAGTACCCTGGAATAGTCACTTTGCTTTTCAATTCCCCTGCCAACACCCACATCCAGGACACAATATCCCTGGATTATTAAAAAGTCTTCTATCTAGATTGCATTACTTCTAATCTTTTCCATTCAGATCTCTGGATTCTAGTCCATAAAGACTGTGCATACTGAATAACAACCTCTGAATATATGCCTGGTACTTAATTTCCACTTGATTAATATTTCTCCGGTAAAAAGTAATATTTAAGTCAGACACATGTTCTGTTGTTTGTGCCACTTATATGCTTTAAGATATTTGGATACAGCCTTAAATTATCTAAACACTTGTGTCTTCTTTCTAAAGTGGAATCCAAGCATTTTTACGTCATCATTTTTATATGTTTCATGTCTATTCAGTGTTTGCGGACAGAAACTGTACTCAATACATGCTATTCTCTCTATTTCATTTTTCTCATAACATAGTTTTGAATTCTCATCCAACAATATTTTTCAAATACTCATATTTATTTGTGCCAAAATATTGATTTTATCAAAATTTGTTGTAATAACTTTGTAATTTAAAGGAGTATGTTCTATGATATACACATGTATGCTCTAATTAAAGCTTTTTTTATGATGAAGAAGCAAAACACCTTGGGAAATAAATTATCCTATTAATAGCCTTTGTATACCCTGTGTGAGCCATTCTGTATAACAATTTATTACTAAAAATACAATGTCAAGCATATGTCGTTGGGAATGGCATCGTGCATATTTTCAAGTTCAGCAGTTACAGGATGACTTTATGTTGTATTTACAAAGCATGAAGTGTATCACTTGTGAATGTGTTTAGATACTAATCATGGAAAAAGCTCACATACTTTTTTGAAAATTTCAGAAAAGTCAAAAGATCAGTCCATAGAAAGAAAATATTTTATTTTTAGGACTATGACTGTTTTAATAGCTTCATTAAGTATCATCTTACAGTAAGCATGTTAGTCAAGATAAAAGATTTATTAAACAGTAACATTCATATGACATTAACATTCATATGAAATATGTCATAGAGATTTTCATAATTTGAGATGTATGTAAATTTCCTCCTCATAATATAGTATATTCTTTTCTAGAGTCTTCCAGTCCAAATTTGTAGTAAGCGTTTAAAAAATTATCTCTAACCAGTCCATCTATATTGTAGTTCGTAAAGTGCCTCTCTCTTATCTCAATTTATTCTCACAATATGGGGAAATGAAAAGGATTAGTACCTTTCAAGCTAGTGTTTGGGGAAAGAAGCAGAGGCTCAGAATAATTAAGTAACTAGCTCAAATTCACACAGCTGATGAGTGTCATCCTCTAGGTGAGGCCCTCCTGCTCCTTGATGAGGTATGTGCTGCTTGCTCTCTGGATACTCTTAACAGAGTAGGGAAGGACTAGGAATTTCGTCTCCAGATCTGGTTGGTGATTACTGCTCTTCCCAGTGGTCAAAAATGCATAAGAAGATGGTGGATTCCTCCCAAGACGCTCATGGCTGCAGGAGCCCTTTGTCTTATCCCAATGACCTGAAGACATCATCTATAACTCCAGGGGTCCTCTTACATCTAATTCACTAGTATTGCATTCAGGACACTTCTAATCTGGCCCAGGCCTCCTCCCCAATCTCATCTTTAAGCTATATTCTGCCCACTTCTTATGTAATGACAATGTTACTTTTTTTTTTTAAGATGGCTTATTGTCCTACAGTCCTTTCTGGCTAATTCCTACTCCTGCTTCAGGCATCGACTCACGTGTCCTTCTTCTTGGAACTCTTTCCTCACTCTTTTCCCACTAAATAACCCCTTTGTATTTTACAATGCCAGCACATATCCTGATAAAAAAATTTACCTCATTC